ATTGGAAAAGAGCTGATGTGGTACCCATCTTAAAAAAGGGGGTGGGGGTAACAGACCCAGGAAACTACAGACAAATCAACCAACATCAATACCTGGGAAGACACTGGAAAAAATAATTTAAAATCAGATGTGAACATCTAGAAACAAATAAGCTGTACCTGTAATAGAAGACCTCCCAGGTCCCTTCCAGCTCTATTCTGATTCTTTCATGTTCCAATAGGGATGCACTCGGGTATGTTTCATTGAGCATGATAAAAGAGATGAAAATGGCTGGAAAAGCGTTTCAGTAAGTAGATGAGGTTGGTGTGCTGAGGTTCAAGTAGATCGGTCATTCTGAAACCCCTAAAGCCAGTCCTAGGACATCATTGAGTAAAGGGGCTATTAAGTTGGCTTCTCATTTGCTACTGCTAGAACAAAGTTCCTTTCTAATGAAGATTTTGTCAAGGGAGGGTCAGCTCCACCATTTGCACTATTGGTATAGAAGCACAATAGTTGTAGAGATTTGCCAGAGGCAACATTGTAGCTGCTCAGGAAGTTTGACAAAAAAAACATAATATTCTGTGTCCAAGAAATCTGTATTTCAGAGGTATTTTCCTGAACTAGGACAAGCAGTGATCTTCCATGAGTATAGTGAAATATTATATGATGTAACTGTTGTTGGATCTGGTTACAAGATTTGAATGATTACAGGTATCGCTATAATACTGTCAGGTTTAATCACTTGATACGATGTAGCTATCCAACATCACCATTTCCCCATGAAATTCTGATTTAATCCATGCTGGATCTCAATACTTTCTGAATTATGTAACTAGCTGTTTAAGAGTTCTTGTTGCTATGAAAATGATTTCTCACCCTCTTCCTTTTGACCAAATATTATATTCAGACTTTTAAAGCACTAAAATTCTACTTTCACCTGTCTCAAGTTGAACTGAGTATGTTTTATACAAAATAAATTGCAAATGCTTCCAGATTATAACAGAAGTCATAGTGCTCTATCATCAAAGGAGCTACACCACACTTATAACCTGGAAAATACCTCTATCCCTTGCTACATAGTTAGATACCTTCTTTATTGAGATCCAAATTCTCAGTATTTTTAGAAAGTCTGTATAAAACAGAGGCTTCAGGGGATAAACTTAGAAAGCTTTATTTCCAGATATCTGTCTTGAAAAAAAATGTCCTGCATAAACGTAAGGCCTACTGTAGAAATTGTTAACTAGAGAAAATTTATAATTCACCCTAATTCCAAATGTATCTTTAGCTAATTATCAGTAAATCCTTTCCATTTCTAGGTGAAGCGTCTGCTCACTATCTTTTGTCCCATCACTGTGAACATTACCTCCTATTTATAATGATTGATTGCTGTAAAAGACCTACCAAATCTGGTACTATCAAGAACATTGGACAAAAATATTTCTATAATTCTCTTCAGATCAGGGGTGGGTTCCTGCCAGTTCTAGCCTCTTCTATAGAAGAGG